ACTGAATATATATATATATATATATATATATATATAATGGGTAATTACATAATGGGCCTTAGGCCATACAAGCCCAAAACTGGGACATAGCAAAGCCCAATAGAAGCAAACAAAGGAAAAGCCCAGACCCATATCATAACTGATAACCGCAATTAACGGATTAATTAACCGTTAATGGTGGGTATCAGTGCTTGTTTCCGATGAGCTCTAGAAGTAACAATCCGGTGCCGTAGCCACAACGAATGACGGTAGGATGAAAGTAAGATGTTCCACTCACTTAGAATTCTTCTTGACGATGGACAATCGTGGACTCCAATTTTAAAATTGAAATAATGCTGGAACAAATTCGAGTAAGAACAACTCTTTGCAATGATTTCTTCCCTCTAAATATGATTTCATTATGCTCTTCCCCTATGTGGTGTACTACTGATGAAAAGCAGATTTTGCGAAGCAAATTTGGAGCTGAATTCCTTTTCCATCGTAGGCTGATGATCTATTGAATTAGGTTATCCGAATTTGTGATTGAGGTACAAAATGGACCTTTTTCTTTGATGAATCTCAAAATTAGTGAGACAAATGTTTGTTCTTAAGTGTGGAGAATTATTTGGCTAATACAATTCTGGTATAAGATTTAATGGAACGTTAATCATAAACAGAGCATCCAAATTATTATATTTATTAAAGTTTAACCAAATCACTAGAATTTAGGTGTGGTTTGTAGTACCACATTCTGAGTATCATCAATTAATCATATCTCATTATATAAGTAAGAATATAATAATTTGATGAATGCTGAATGCGTCAAAAGACGGTTTTATTATTTTTCAGATTCAATGGATTTGTGGCAAACGACATTGCAACGAACCTGTCAAATTGTGGTAAATGAGTTGGATTTGACAGACAGGTCAATCCATGATAAATTGGATCATCCAATTTGTAACTTCAAATTTCACAAAATATTATAGATTTCAAAAAAGAAAGAACGGTTGCAGTATATATGTATATAGTTCAAGAAGTTCCATCAACTCACTTGAATATTATATGAAGAAAATAAATATGAAATTAGTGTAAAGAAATCTTAAGAATGTCATTTTTTTTATCTTCTAAATAAAAAATGGAACAAAAAAAGGGATCATTGTCGATTAATCTAATCCCATATGAGAGTCTTTTCCCTTCGAGCTTTGACATGTTGTCGTGGTAGTGGGACCTAGTTATTTGGGCAACACATGGATACTCGTTCGTTTTATAGAAACTCATTTTCCACCACCTTCACAAGAATATAATACGATTATTGAATAGATCACGTTTAATTAATGGGTCAACACTTGACACGACTTGGCAAGACAAGACATACTTATACTTCTATAATATTTCTGTTAGAAGTAATGCTCATGACACCTTTACTTAGTATGTTGATCGGACACATTTAGTTAAAAGAAAAATTGAGTTATAAATTAGTTGGCGCATAGTTATTAAATGCACGCATAGGCTCCAAAAGGTCACAAGCTTATTAAGACTCAGCTGGAGTGCATAATGCTGCTCGTGGGATTTAATAATTGATGGAAAGGAGGGTGAGGTATGGATATATGAGACATCCTGGGGAGCGAAGATGTCTCTCTCACTTTTTATTTGGGTGAAAGAAAAAAATATTAAAAAAGATGGATGGCATGACATAAAGAAAGAAATCGTGTTTCTTGATGAAATAGTTAAATCAGAAATGAAGTTTGTTTAAATTATGGTATTTATTGATTAATTATTTTATTATTATTATTTTTTTTGGCAGAAAAAAAGGGACTATTGCTTGGTGCCAACAGAAAATAAGACAATTATTGGATTCTCTCGAGTCATTTTTTTTTTTTTTTTTTCCCTTCAATTAAGGACTACTAGTATTTAGGTAATTCAATGTGTATCATCAGGACAGTTGTCATCCAACACAGTTTTTCTTGATCAGTACCCAATGAAAATAGGCTGTTGATAAGGAAGAGCAATTCTCAGTTGAAATGTAATGCGCTGACACTGAATCTCAAACAGTGCCAACCGTTCCTATATATATATATATATATATATCGAGTTTAAAATATAATTCATCAGGTTCTTTTAATTTGGAGTAAAGTCTCAAGACTCTATATAAATAAAAAATTATTTTTATTATTTTAGTTCTTGCTTATTATATTTTGCGGAATCAGTACATCCATTCAAATATATATAAATTTATATATATCCCGCATTTTCTCACAGACAGAATAAAAAGTCAAACAAAGGCATGGTATATATGTGGCATATGCTAAGAGAAGAAACTAATAAAATTATGGTTTTTTAGACCAGGAACAACTACATATACATAAATTAGATTACAGGAAAGTGGGAGGAAAAGACGCGAAAAGAGGATCACAACCAACTCTTGACCTTAGAAGAAAAATGAAACAAGAAGACAAACACAACACACACATGGCTAATCTAACAACTTAGTATTCTACAAATTATTGAAGGACAGTACAATGCAAGTTGAAGACTTTGGACAAATAAATAAATTAAAAGATAAATATATATAAGTACGGAAAAACATATGTGTACGGTTGGTATGACTGTGAGTGATGTCATTGATGTTAAAATTAATGTTTGATCAGATTATAAAATAGTAAACATGGGTTGGCGTAGACCTGGGCGGGGTTGGCGCTGATGCAATTCTTTTGCAAGCAAATACGTTCAAACAATCTCATCCACCACATAACCACACATGCATGCATGTATGGGTCAGGCTCAGAAGCAGTCTCAAATATTATCCTAAATTAATTATCTGGGATTTTTTTTTTTTTTTTTGGGCGAATTTGGGATAGGTGGGATTTAAACTTGGATAATCCCGAGTTGGAGAAGTTGAACATTCTATCAATTTTAAGTCAGTAAATAAAATCTCTTGTTAAGAACCTGAATTTAGCTCTCCATAAAACAACGAATTTATTAATTAACATAACCAACATATGCTGATTGGGATAGTTATCGACTTAGTAGTTTGCTACTATTATTTAAGAACATATTAAGTTATGGGATGGACTAAAGTCGAGCTTATCCATTTACCATCCTTTTGTCTGATCCTCTCATCTTTAATGAGATGGGATGTCTAAGTAAGTCCATCTTATCTATTATACTTACTCCGTTTACTATAATTTCTCTGCCAATCAATTTTTTTTTTTTTTTTTTTTTTTTTTTTTTTTTTTTTGTGAAATAAAATTTGGATAATACCAATAATATAAATAAAAAATGGGTCAGATATAAAAAGGGGTTTAGTATCACAATTAAAATTAGTCCAGGTAGATATCGGAGATAATCAACATATCTTTAAGTTTAAAATAAATTGTTTTTTATTTTATTTTAACATTGTACATTTTGAATATTTACAATTACTCTTGAATCACGAATTGGAACTTGAAATATCAATGTAATGAGACCTTGAGTTACCATTACTAGTTTACTACCAAATAACCACAACCCCTATACATTGATGGTTAAAAATCAAACAGAAATAATTTATTTTGAAGAACAACTAATAATTAAGTGGGAGGAAAAGACACGAAAAGATGATAAGCAACTAAAATACGTACGATATGATCAAAGGACACACCCCTCACTAAACTAACATTTCACTATTTAAATTACACTAATTATCGAAGACTTAGACAAATGAATTACTAAAAAAATCAAATGCGTACGGAAAAATTCCATATGCTTACGATGTTGATGTGTACGGCTGCATACGATTTTCTTTTATTATTTATTTATTTATTTATTTTTTGAAAGTTTACTTAAGTATCCACCTCATCACGATGCTAATACAAACTATACTAGAATATTCACTACCGAACATGGTGTTGGCTTAGAGTTAGGCGGAATATTTGGTGCTAATGCAACTCTCTGTACTAGTGCTTACACGCATCTAAATATTCATTCCTTCACATATACCATTTAGTTACCTTCTGTTTTCTTTTTTTAAGAACTCTCTGGACTAGCCGTTGAACTTTTAATACCTGTAACTTCAACAAATTGAAATAGGTTAGGAAAAAATTAAGTTTTAAAAAAGAAGAGGGAAAGTTATATAAGGAAAAGTACATCTATATTACTCCCTCAATACAATTATACAAAGAATAAATAAGTTAATAATCGAATTCGGTAGTTAAGCGTAGTGGTAGAAGAGAAAATTGAGAAAAATCTCTCCATCTCTCTTCTCGAGAAATCTCCAATTATATAAAGAATAATAATTTAAGAACCGAATTCAGTAATTACTAAATCCAATTTAATTATGTGAGTGTAGTGGTGATGAAGAAAATTGAATAATATATATATCTCTCCATCTTTTCCCTCGAAAAATCCACGAAACTAACAAGGCTTAAATATTATAATTAAGGATTCTAAACAAATTTGCAAGTTGGTTTTAAAAACTAGGGGAGGTAGCTAGTGTGGCTTTGAAGTAAAATATAAAGTAGTGGTGCGTATCCTCATTATAGTTGCAATTCCATTATTCCCGCCAGGAAAGGAAGCTTTTGATAAGATAGAGCAGTTTTCATTTGACTTGTTGAGAGAGAAATGTGGTGAGCTAATTAATTAATTAATATATATAATAGTCAACTGAAAATTTAAGAACAGAACCACCCTTCTTTCTTACGTTATTTTAAAATTGAGTCAATGAACCGAGAAATTTCTTGGTCCCTTTTTTAATAAACTGATTTGTATTACTCATTCAAGCATAAACCATTTCATCATCATAATTATCTTGCTAACACATGTATTTATCTTCATGTTTTTTTCAGAGAACGGTAGAGCAAACACTATTTGCAAGGTCGATCAAACCCTCTCTGCTCTTTGACAATTACAAGGTTAATTATACCTTTGGATTAGAGACCCTTTGATTATTTATCTTCATATTACTCATTGATAGAATGAAAAGATATTTGCTAAGGAAAGTTAACAAAGTCATGGCGCGCTGCTTGTAGGACAATGAACAACTATAGAAATTCTTGAATTCAAAGGATACAAGACTAACATTTTAATTAAGATTTCAGAGATACACGAAAAGTGAAAGGAAAAGATGAGAAATATTATTAAACAACACAAAAAATTCAACTTACGTACATTTCATGACCATTTAAACTAGAATTAAAATAACACAAGTAGAGGACGGACAGAGCAAAACAAAATCTGCAATTCAACCAAAAAAAAAAACAAAAAAAAAACAAAATATGCATGCATACGTAACAAAGAAAAAAATGGCATGATCAGGACGGTTCAATCTGTACGGCGTACGATTGTTGTGGTAGATATGCTGAAATCATGAAATCAGAAACTATGGTAGTAGTAGGAATTTTTTTTTAATTTTTTTTCCTTCTTCTTTTCTTTGGCAAATGCTATGACAAGGGTATTCTCAGCGAGCTCACATCCTCATCGCCGTTGGATCTTGCAGCTCTGATATGAGCCGGTTGATTGTGCCCTCATCACAGACTTGCTCTTTTTTATTTTTTATTTTTCCAATTGAGTTTACTAGCTAAGTTCCACTAGCATCATGCATGATACTAATACTAGTGTTACTAAATTATATACATTAAACATGGATTGGAGTAGAGTTGGGCGGGGTTGACAGTGATGCTACTGATCTCTTGCCGCGCTCCGACCGGCTGTTCTCGGCAAACTTGACACTTCCTTGATGCAAGCCCTTCTCTTTCTCCTCCTCATTCCACTCCGATGCGTAGTAATGTTCTTCTGTGTATTTGGCATCTTTAGATGGCGGAAGGAACATGCTTCCCCACTGAGGAAAGTGAACCAGTGCCACAGGAAGAGTGCAAGCTACAGCCATGACACCCATCCAAGACAGACCTGCAGCAGTGGAGAATCTTGAGTTTGAGAAGAACATTAGTTGTGTCACACCGCCTCCAAAGTTGCCTCCTGCACCGGTTAGGCCCGAGATTAGCCCCAAAGCTCGCCGGGAAATGAAGGGAATGATGCCGTATGTCGCTCCACACGCGGCTTGAGCTCCAATAGAGAAGAGGATCATGGCTAGGACAGCGAGTGGGAGTGAATTGGCACGGCCTAGCCAAATACAGAATACACCTCCTAGGGTTTGAACCACCCAAAGGGTCCATAACCTCCCTCGCATGCCGAATTTTCTTGCTGCTAGGTCTGAAGCATAGCCACCGAAAGGTCGAGCCACAATGTTTGCCAAGCCAAAGGTGGCTGCAATCATTCCGGCTGTGTGTAGCTTTAGATCAAACCTGTTACACATAAAATTATTAGTAGCTCACTTCTTGGATTGGTCATGACATTATTGTAGGTGTGAAGGAATTGAAACAAACCTGTCATAGAAATATTCTGCGATAACATTGTTGATGCACAATTCTACACCCATGGAATAGCCATAGAGCAGTACAAAGATCCATGTCCGGTAGTTTTTGACTGCATACCAAAACACCTGAACAAGAGAAACAATTCAGATATAAAAAATAACATAGATATCAATTGTATCACACGAGTAATGACTTTGTCACCAAAACAAAAATTCCAAACATTGAACAGCTAGGTGTCTCACATAGCAGTCAGGTGTCAGCTATGTGAGACACCTGACTAGTTGGACGTTCGTAAGAGATGTAAACTAGTAATAATCTGAAAATACATGTCCGGGCAGGGCAAAAGTGTGTGTGAGTTTTTAAAATAAATAAAAAATCACCTTTGAGAATTTATCTTTGGCAACTTCACCCTTCTTTTGTAGGGTGCTGAGGTTGCCGTCAGGCAAGTCTTGGCCAAGAGTTAAGACCATGATCCCTGTGATCACATGAAGCCACCCGGGGATGAAGAAAGCGATCCTCCACGCGGTGTACGGGGCAGCTCCTGCTAGTTTAATGACATGATAAAGAAATGGCATGAGAAGCTGAGTGATTCCGCCACCCATGTCACCCCATCCACCGGTGGTTCCATTGACAAGCCCAATGATCATACTATTAAACATTGTGCTCATCCAGTACTGACACGACACGAACGTCGCGAGGGAGAATCCGATCATGAACCGGACGGCTATGAACCCTTGAGCCGACGAAACAAACGAAAAGCAAAACACAGTTGGAGCTGCTAACAAGTTGAGAACTGCACAACCATACCGTGGCCCTATTAGGTCACAAACCACACCCATCACAAGCCTAGAGAAGATGCTGCCAGAAACGGAGGCAACTCCGGCATTCCCGATGTCTGATCTGGTTAGGTTTAGGTTGTCACGGATGACCGGAACGAGAGGAGCAGCCGCGAAGGTGGAGACGAAACAGGTGAAGAAGGAGATCCATGAGAGGTGGAAGGCTCTCATGTGAGGTTGAGCAAAGGAGAAGATTTTGATGACTTTTGCTTTATGCTCAGAATCAACTGGTAGGGCAAATTTTGGTGTGGTATCAGTAGGGACAGTGAGAGAATCAATGGAGAGAGCAAAGGTTTGTTCTCTGCCTGTCACTCCATGCATGGAGGTCCCGAAGGAACTTTCATTGGCAGCCATTTTTTTTTCTTCTTTCCCTAGGGATCACTATCAGTGATTGAAATGGAGGGAGGTGAATAAAGCTACTATGATGATATGATTGTGGTTGTCTTTGATGTGGTATTTATAATGGTTGGCCATTGAAATTGTCAAACCCTAGGCATATAAAAATTGTCAAGTAGCATGATTTTTTTAGGAACTATTTACATGATAAGGATGATCTGTATAAACATTTTATGAGCCTCTTATATTAAGTTTGATTATGCACAAATATCAAGTTGTACGACTATACCTCCAACCTTATGGAATGGTTAGATATTGATGTTAAAAAATTATACATATGTCGACATTAGAGTGATAATGCGTGAAGGTGCTGAAAGGAATGAAGTGATACGAAAGCAAGTGGTACAGTGATATATTTTTTCCTTTCAAAATAAAAAGTAGGAGGTTAAAATCTCATCAACAAAAATATTGTTAAGAGTTATTTCCTACAGAAAAAATATATATTAGTGGAGCTAAACTTTGGTAAAAAGTCCGTTATTAAACTTTGGTTCAATTTGATTTTAATGATTATAATCAGTTTTAATGAAATTAATCTCTTATTTTAAAATCGATTTTATTATAATTGAATTCAAACTTTTCTTATTGTATGTGATTATAAGAGTAGTGATCATGCAATGATCCAAGGAAGGGATAAATCACGTGTTCGTATTTATGTGATATAGGACTTTTATGATAATTTCACCAGAATTCAAGGTTGCCGTTTGTATTGATTTCAAGAAAGTTATTTTATTTATTTATTTATTTTTTGCCCTGGCAAGAAAACATGCCATATGCTATATGGCATCTACAACAAGATCACCAGGTAGATACAAAATATCAAAAACACATAAAACACCATCCCAAACTAACTAACACTTCTTGTAGTCAAGATTAACAGTCTTGACAAGTCAAAGAAAAGGAAGTATCGGTGTTGTGTGTTAGGAAGGGGCTTGTGATCCGAGCCTCTTGTATAATTTCAAGGGGTTGTCCAAGGTCCAGAAGAACCCTTAAATATCTAATAGCAAAGGAAGGTTTGGAAAAAAGATAAAGCTCCTGTAAATGATGAAGATAAATGAAAATTTCAAATTCATTTTAAGCGATCTGTTGATAAACCTTTGTAGGGGTTCTTTTCAACTAGATAATAAAACAACAATATAATAAAGATATCAGGAATACAAATACGAAGGAAAATAGAGAAGGTGCTCAATGTAGGAGGAGGAGGAAAAGACCAACTATATATCAAGATAAAGATGGTGGTAGGGCGAGTATACAATATCTCATGACAGCTTTTCTTCTTTCGGGGTTGGTATTTTCTTTATAGGACAGTGCCATTTATAGATCTGGATCCCATTGGTTATTATCCAATGGTTCCTTCCATGCATGATCCCTCGCATGCATTACCCTTAAATCCTGGAGATTTAGGAGTCTGAAGGGTCTAATCCTTTCCTCGAGCCTTGTCCCATGTTGCCATGTCACTCCTCCCTTAATCAGGGGCATTAAATGTTACTTGGCCGTCGGTTGGTCAAGCCTGACATAGCATTAATTGTGATTTTAAGGTTTGTTGTCATGATATGTATAATCCCATCATCTTGTTAATTGGGCCTTGCCGAGAACGAAGGCACCTCTTGACTTCTCATTCACCAATCCAAGATCCTCCTAAGTTTCCCAAACATGGATTCCTATAACACGAAGATCCTACCTTCATCTCATACTAAGGAGCCCCAGCCTTGTAAAGCAGTATTGTCGGCGTAACACCTGGGTTCGAGGTATTCGAGAGTTGGTCTCTCGAGGCTTGATGGGCCTGGTGTGGTGCCAGGGCTTAGGATGCTCGAGGATCAGCTTTTCGAGGCTTATTGGGCCTGGAGCGATCATAGGGCTTTGTATGCTCAAAGTTTGATCTTTCGAGACTTGGTGGGCCTAGAGCGGTGCCAGGGCTTTAGAGTACTCGAAATTTGATCTTTCGAGGCTTGATGGGCCTGGAGCGATGCCAGGGCTTTAGAATGCTCGAAATTTGATGTTTCAAGGCTTGAGGGCCTGGAGCGATGCCAGGGCTTAGAATGCTCGAGATTTGATCTTTCGAGGCTTGATGGGCCTAGAGCGATGCCAGGGCTTAGGGTGCTCGAGATTTGATCTTTCAAGGCTTAAGGGCTTAGAGCGATGCTAGGGCTAGAATGCTCGAGATTTGATCTTTTGAGACTTGAGGGCCTGGAGCAATGCTAGGGCTTAGAGTGCTCGAGATTTGACTATTCGAGGCTTTTAACTTTTCAAATTGCCACGGAGGATTTGGCTAGGTTTGTATTGATTTGTCAACATGCCACATCAGTTTCTAATAAGTGACACCCACAACCTGAAAAGGAGAATAAAAAAATAAAAAAATAATAAAAAGGAAAATCAATTTCGAGCTTTTATTTTCTAAATTTTTTATGTTCACTGATTTGGAAATAAAAATAAAATTGGATGGATGAATGAGTTGAAGTGCAGGATGCATGAATAATCGCACGTATTATGTATGTGGTCGGTCAATGATGGAGAGTGTACGGGAGGTACGGCAAAAAGAAAGGAACCTTTTTAATAAAAATAAAAGTCCGCCCACGTTGTTGTTGACGTCACATTTTGAATTTATGGACCAACAACTTAAGGCAGGTCAGGGAAAATAAAATAAAATAATAAAAAAACTTAGGGCAGGTTAAGTTAAATTTAATCAAAATGGGAACAACTCGCGCAGATCCTTGGCTTCAAATTTTGGTACTGTTGTGGAACTGTTATGATTTTAAAATTTACGTTATTGAAAATTAGTATTTTGAAATTGGGCTCCATAATAAACCTATCTAATATATATATATGCTCATGCATTCTCAATTATTTTTGGTATTTTTTTTTTTTTTTGCTGATTTTAGTATTATAAATCTTAGAATACTCTATAATTTATCACTGTTCACAAAGAAAATTCTTTGAAAAAAAGATATCACTTGACATTGCTGGTACCTAAGTCACATAATATTTCTCAACGGGTGTCGCTCTCAAGTTCTGAGCGCGCTCCCGCACTTACGCTTCGCTCGCATTCTAACTCAAATTCTCACTATTTATGATTTAATTATGCCACTCTTACACTTCCTCTCTTGAATTCCCTCTCGCTCCTGCTCCCGCTTTATATGACTTAGGCTGGTACTTCACTAATACATCTCTTTACTATATTTCTTTTTTATATAAGAGTATTTTTAAATTAATATCTTCCTAATGAAAAAAAAAAAAGCAAAAAAATAAAAATAAAAAAATAAAAATCCAATATATCACTTAACATTTATAAAACATGCACTTTTACTAGCGAAATGAAAACGTTTTTAAACTTCTCAAAATCACTGAAGAGTGCCTTGTATATCCATCCTATTTACCTCTGTCCGCAATTATTTATATCTACAACACTACAAAACTCTCCACAATTTTACAATTTTTTATACACTTTACACGTATCTACAAATTCTTCGATACTCTAGAATATTTTACAAATTCTCCAACATTACAAATTCTCCCACCTATAAATTGTGTAGTTTCACTTTCAAATATGTAATTTGTGCATTTGATTCTCAATGTTATTAGTAGCCTAATGCCGTATTCATAGTTTGAGAGTAGTTTTAATGATACTTCTTGTATTCATAGTTTTAGAGTGGTTTTAATGATACTGAAAATGTTTTATTAGGCAGCCCATCTGACAGAAGTATTATGAGATTTGTTTGTTGAATATATATGGTGTTTAGCCAACATTATATTGATAATGCAATAAATAATGTTAAACTTCAATTTCAAACCTCCGTAATTTTACATTATCAACATCCAGCAACGTGCAATTCCTCATTCAAATTCTCTCCTATTTTGAAGTTCTTCAAATGCTCGGTACACATTGACCCACAATTTCTTACAAGAGTCAAATAACTGGTAACTGCACACGCACACATTACATTATTTTCTATTGTTTGCCTAGATAGTGGAAATCAGATGGAATACATTATAACCACCAACAAATTACAATACAGGTTATCAAGAATATCAATTTAATATTAATCCGCGAGAATCCTAGAACTACCGAAATCACAAATCAAACACACGCTCACAACTTTTCCCAAGCAAGGCTCGAACTCTCGAGTCTCATCTTCCCTTTTGGAAGAGAGATCATATTCACAAAGGTCCTAGAAGTATAAATATAACACATTCCACTACAAGCAAGCATAGGCATGGTCATCAACACAAGGCATGCAATGCCCTATTGCGCATAGATATTTCCATGCAATTCAATGAAAAAAGGTTCTCTAACAGAAAGTTCAACCCACATTGAGGAATGAAGATAAACAAAACCCTTACTGTATAGAAACATGTAACCCTTGATGATTCAAGTGATAACTTTGAATAAAACGATCCAACATTCACCAGCAGCTAAGGGCATACATATTCTTCACTGCTAATTCTGATTTGGGTTTTATGATAACCATTCCAACATAAGAAGAACAAACAAGCAACTCAAATGAAGGACTGTAACATGAGAATATTAAAGTTCTGGTACTTCACCTTCTTTGAACAGGTTTGTAAAGCACAACAGTGACAAATTTTGAACGGAAACGATGAGTGATCCCAAGTGCCACTACAGGTCGTGGATTTTCCCTGTTCTCAATATAAAGATGATTGAGAATGACGTTCTGTGGCAATGGAAGGGACCCAGAAGAATCTCCGTTTGTTGGTTGACTAAGCAGTGTGTGTTGCAGGTGTGGAGGCACCATAGGTGGGTCCCGCGCCTCATCTTCATTCCCAGGGTACGCGTTATTGTAACTTGCATCAGGAGAATTTGGAACTTCAAATCCTGCTACAGTTGCTCCATCCTGCACAGAGATTATACAGTTAATAACCTATCTGATCCATGTAGCACAAACAATGGCCAAATTTTTTTAGGCTTACTTGATCTCCGCCACATGGGTTGTTCATTTTGGAATAAGTAACTTGAGTGATTACCAATACAAGATCATCGATAGAGTAAGCCAAAAATATTGACGAGCCTGAAAAAAACATCCATTTTAATTCTGTTAGCATTTAAAAAATGATGGGACAGCTCATATAATTGTATAATGTAAGAAATACGTATCAAATAGATACATGACTCACCATAAAACTTACTGGAAAGATGACCCACACAAAACAACACCACTAGAACTCAAGAAAACCATATCCTAACTGTTCTGAATTAACAATGCTAGATTCACACTTAGTTCAGGATTTATGTTTGAAAGAGTCTCACTGGAAGCTTTAAGCTCCAATATAGCACAATCCCATATCACTGGGCTGTAAACACGCTGTGGATAAAAAGATAAAGCTCTATATGTTAAGCAGGGGCATTACATATATGGTGGACTCTGAAATACTAGGCAAACAGGTCTAAACAGATTTACGCACAGGGGAAAGCCAATATCAACAATGTTTGGTAGAATCCATGTAGTAGCCAGTGATAAGAATTATACTGATGAGTCAATCAGTTTCTTGCAATCCATGAATGACAAAATCCAGTGGGTCGGACTCAAAATATCACTTAAATAGAAGACTAACTGCAGCTAATTTTGTAGTAAAATGAGAACAAGAGATTAAAAGTTGGAGGAAACCCCCCTGAATAATGGGAGAAATAATTTCTTTTCATGGACAAAGCAAGGAGGAGCTCAAAACTAACTAAAAAAAAAAAAAAGTGACTGATATATATAAGCACAAAAAAGTGTCAAGAAGAATTAGGACAAGTATAACATTGCGGATTCTATTTAGTAGTTGAGATCACAATAGGAAGTTTAAGTGTATAAAATGGTACCAAACATGTGGTATTGCTCTCATTATATCAATCCAATGTTATGCACACAATGTATTTCTAGAAATTTTTTTCCTCGATCTATTTCTAGATTAACAAGATAGTATTGAGTCATTGCCATGTGTCAGGTCTAAGAAAATAAGGAAAGGAAACTTATGCAATAAGACAACACCAAAACATAAAGGCCAGGTAGCTGTAAGGCACTGAGGTATTAAGTGCATAAGCACTGGAACAAGAAGAATAAAAGAAGAAAGCAAAAACTCCTTGCATGTGCCAGAACAAGGGATGCACTGGGAGGAATGGAGGAGGAGGTTCATGGATTGGTGGCTGTGTTTTAAAGGGATGAAAGTAAAGGCACATAGAGAAGCGATAGAAATATCCTTGCATGTGCCAGAACAAGGGATGATAATAGGAAAGACAAGCAAAATTGAGAAAACGGTTACAAGGACCAAGAGCAAATTGCTTACGTGGTATGCACGACCGAAGAATCTGGGATTCCCAATTTCCCTATGTGGGGGTTATTCGCACAGGCGCACACTAAGCATGAATCTTGTAAACAAAATTAGCTTTGTAGAGAAGCAACAATTTTCATTCTCTCAGCTCAATCTATAATCTACTCTGCCTTCTATGAGTTATCTGAGCCCCTTTCTCCTTGAACCAGTCCTCAACAATCTGTTTAGAAAGTTGCAAAGAGTAGAGAATCAAATGCTTTGGATCTCAATCTAAACAGTAATATGCATACTTCAAAAGATGTAGTATGAATATTTGGGATTGACAATCAACGGGCCAGTGGCCTAGCGGTATCAGGCTCTTAACCTCCCAAAGGGAGGTCTGGAGTTCAAGTCTCAGAAGAGACAAGTGTGTGTGAGCACCAACTAGGAAAAAAATATATATATTTGGGATTGACAAGATGAGTTTCTTTGGAAAGCGTGGGAGTCCAAAAAGAAAAGAAAAGAAAAGAAATTTCTCCTTAAAATTCAATGCTAAATTTACTTATCAAAAAAAAAAAAATTCAATGCTAAATTTAGTTTTTCTAATACGTCAATGTGGAAAATTGATTCTCAACTGCATTGAGCCTTATTCCCAACTAACTATAAATATGAATATTTAACTATTCTTTGATTGAAGCTACCTAACCTTCGTGCTGAAAGGCCTGAAAAAAGTTGGGCAAAAGTCCCTTTAAGCTGGTTCATCCTATGCTTGGACCATACTTTTTTCATCAGACTAGAATTTTCTTACATTTTCGAGTCAAATTTCTCAAAGAATAAATTCCAATAGCAAATTAATTATAAACTAGGTAAATTGACATCATGTTGTAAATATAACTAGGTAAATTGACACCATGTTGTAAATATAACATCTTAAGTCACATGAAAGACAAACCACCATACTGTCAAAGATAAGAGGACCAACTCTGACCTGCTGATATTTGCTCAGATGGAGCAATCTTATTTACTTAACTTGCTCCTACTTATTGTTAATATTGGTTAAACAATCCAAGAATACGTACCCAAGCTCTTCTGTTCAACCTTTCTTAAGGCATCGAATCATATGTTCATGTTTCCTGTGGTTGTAATATCCATTATGTATCGAAGTCCCCAAAATACTCTAAGGAAACTAATTCTTCTCAACTACTTGTACATGCTCTCTAATGAGTATATATTTCTTGTCGGGAGGGAAACGAATATGGATAATGAACTTTGACCCTGCTTATCTTCAATTGAAGAGTATAGATCATCATTTTTCCCTACATCTTCTTTGCTCAAATGAATATGTCATTTTCCGTACTTAAATGTATAAATAGAAGTATGATACTTTACAAACATTAGCCCACAGTGATTTAGCCTTGGATTGTGAGCCACCTGAAAAGCATGCTGCTATGACATCAACTTTTATTTACCTTCTGCACTAATACGTCTCAAAAATCACAAAAATTCAGTGTGTTCTACAATTTAAACTTGATAATATAAGAAAACTATGAATAATATGCATGCCGAGGGCCATTATTCAGTCCTAGTCCCGTCTACGTGGGTTGCTGGGAGGGAAATATTGGAGACAAGACTAACAATTGTTGATATTATTTAACACAAAGTAGTTGCCCTCATAGTCGAATTTCTTACTTCAAGAAGGTTAAGGTACTTGCTCCTTGATTAACCTCCTAATATGTTACAAACTCCTCAAGTACTAAAGCCTTACAATAGCATTCTAGTAGTCTTTAAGGATTGTTTACCAAGCCTAGTAAGTTTGTTCTCAAACATTATGAATTGAAGAAGAGGTTTTTCCATTAAAACATAAATCCTAGTGTTCTTTTAAGGCCCTCAAGACACCCTTTGTAATACCCCGTGATTTTATGAATTAATTAAATGGGATTTAACATTTTAAATTGGGTTTAGATTAAATAATTGTGTATTTGCTTATGTATGGCTTTTAAAGCATTGGGTTGGGATTTATGCTGTTGGGTCATGGGGATTCCATGGGTCAGCTCTGTATCCGATTTCGACTTATTTTGTTAGCCTTAGCAATACGATTAGGTTAGTCACCGCCCCCCGGGGGGGGGAGGGGGGGGGGGGGGGGGGGGGGGGGGGGTGGGGTGGTTGACAGACTAAACAATATGTAGAGGAAGCAGAGAAACCCTAGGCTGGAGACTTGTCTGCGTACGTTCTAGTTCGTGTAAGGGAAACCAAGAAAGGGCTGCAACCCTAGGCTGGAGGTTTAAGAATTCGTGTTGCTGCCCTATAATCATGAGGCAAGTACTCTTCTTCTCTTCCCCTTTGAATCTATAAACGTTTCAGCTTTGCCAAACGAAATCAATATACCTAAACACTGTTAAAACATGATTCGATTATGAAAGTTCTAGATTGAACCTAAACGTCCCTGGTAATTCCAAACTGTATGACTTAATCTGGAACTTATACTTTGGTTTTGATATTTCTGGTTTGAACCCTTTATACGCTTCTGATATATTTTATTTGCAAGACTTACCCGCTATGCATAATTGATGAGGATTGTTCTAGTTTTTTTTATATTCGTATTAACCCATTGATTTTTCTGCTTTCTGGATTCTGGCTTTAATTGATAAGTGTTGATGAGTAAAACCTTGTTATACAATATCATCACTGCGAATAGGAATTTATTTCGGCATACTGAAATTCGATTAAAATCTCAAAATGATAGGAAATGGCATAGCAATTTCATGAACCTTAGTGCTACACCGAATTTATTAATGGGAATGGATTAATCAATTTCATGCTTATGTGTTATAGTTGAGGATTATCATGCTTTACATAAAAGGGTACTTGCTTATGTTTATGGGTATGGGATTGTGTTGTGGAACCACTGTGGGTTGACTATTAACGCAGTCTCACTAGTACCTATTGGTATGATTGATTTGCCAAGGCATGGTTGGGTTGTCAGGTACGTGGTTTGATTGTAGGCATGGTTGAGTTGCCTATTTTCATTATGTATATAATTGTCGACTGCATAATTATGTGCATGACATGACTCTCTAGGGATAATGCAGTACGTGGTAGATTACTCCTTACTAGCTGGGGTTTAGGCCTTGGTTATGGTATTGCGCATTATCATTACTGAGGGGTAATGAATTGGGGTTCCACTTGGTATTTGTGTTGATTTCATTAGAGGATGGGTTTATGGATTCTCTGTTGGGTTGTAGTAGAGGGGACTAGCTTGTGGGATTAACCCACCTTTTGTTGGCATTTCAGGTCCCAAGCAATTTTAGCCACAGGGTTGAAGATTCAGCTAACTGTAGTTTAACCGTGATCATCTACTCTATTCCAGATTTATTTCAGTGTAGGTTTTGTTACTCTTTTTAGACTTTTATGGATGGATATTTTTGGAATTGGATTTAGGGGTCCCCGGTTTATGGGATTCTCAAGTTGTAATAAATGAGATTATGGATTTGAAGGTTCTTTTAATGTTAGCATTTCCTTCCACCTTTAATTCGTTTTATTAATGATTATTGTACTTTGTGCTTGTTTATACCATGTGTTGACATTATATATAAGCCTGGCCAACTTATTTATGGAAATTAGGGGGTGTTACACCCTTTAATGAGAATCCAAAACTTGACAACTAGTGGTGATGCCAAGGTTGTGCTGGTTAGAGAAAAGCCGGTGTCTCTTGCTCTTGGCTATTATAACTATATATGTGGAATCATATATATATATATATATATATATATTTATGTGT